AAACCCCACTGGAGGCAGGTAAGACAGGCCTCTTGCAACAGTCACTTCCACTCTGGGGAGCACTTCCCTGGCTCCCACTAACAGCCGACGGGGCAGATGCAGCGCGGGTCTGCAAAGTGCACTGTATTCCCACGGGGACAGGCCGCCAAGAGCCAGGCTGTGCTGTGACTGACCGCCACAAGCTGCAGTGAGAAGCAAGCTCCATGCTGCCCCCCAGGGGAGCGCGGCAGCCCAGCGACTCCCAAGGGAGGAGAGAAGGGCCAGCTGCAGACACGTGGAAGAACAGAAAGGGAAGCCCCAAGCCTCAGGCCCCTTCTGCACACACTGGCAGTAAGAGAGATCAGGCCGACTGAGCATGGCTGCAGCCGTCCCCAGACAAAGGAGGCTGGGGCAGCATTACTGGTGCTGCGGAGGAAAGGGAACAGCTTTACCTAGCTTTCAACCCCAGGCAACAGCACCCACACAAGGGCTCACACTCACTGAACCCCTGCACCCACTACACAGCTGAGCGTGGGCCCGCGTCCCCAGACAAAGGAGGCTGGGGCAGCATTACTGGTGCTGCGGAGGAAAGGGAACAGCTTTACCTAGCTTTCAACCCCAGGCAACAGCACCCACACAAGGGCTCACACTCACTGAACCCCTGCACCCACTACACAGCTGAGCGTGGGCCAGTCCCTGCAAGGAGCCCCGTGCCCACTTGGGGGGCCATTAGCAGGCGCCACGGCATGGCCAGGTTTTAAGCCTTGCACTGGGTATTTCAGAGAAGGTAAATGATTCGCGTTCAGAAAACAGCATGTTCCCCAGACACCTCCCAACCCCAGCTCCTTCCCCGGGCCAGTCTCAGCCCTACACTCCCTGCACCTCTGAGCAGAGCCTGCAGGGCGGGGGGAGCAGGTAGACTCCAATTCTGGGCTGCTCTTTCCCCACCCCACGCCCCTCCTCAGAGAGGAGTCAGGGCCAGATGGGAGGCAAGACCAGGGGTCTCAGCCCTCCACACTCTCAGGGACTCCAGCACCACAGACAAGCGTGTGTGAAATCTCCCATGACCCTTGGGGAGGAGCCTACGCCAAGCACAGCTCCTGCAGGAGTCCCCCCAGCCGAGGCCAGTGGCTCAAGGGGCGGACGGCTAACCTAGCATAGTACCCCCAGCAGGATGGGCACCGTGTGCCGCTCGCAGGCCAGCCCAGCTGAGGACACTCAGGCTGCTCAAAAATGCTGACAGTTGGGTTGGGTGACGGGAGCCGTTCACACCAAGTGCCTGCTCTGCGGGGGAGTGACACCACTTCATGCCAAACCAATGGGAGCTGCTGCTGCAGAGCGCCCACCTCAGGGCAGCTTCCCAATTCTGGCTCCCTCCAGCAGGCTGGGGAAGGGGAGCGCAGGGGTTTGCTGAAGCAGAGGGGGAGCCCAGTCCCTGCTCAGAGGCAGAACAAACACTGGGCCATCCCAGCACTATCCAGGAAGCTGGGCATCAGGACAGCAGAGTCCCCCCCTGCATGTGTGTTGGGGGTGGGGGGGAGCAGAGTCCCATCTCCTGCATCTGCCCTTTGCTGGCCAGGAGGCAGCAGCCCCCCCACAGCGGCAGCTTGCTGAAGCAGAGGGGGAGCCCAGTCCCTGCTCAGAGGCAGAACAAACACTGGGCCATCCCAGCACTATCCAGGAAGCTGGGCATCAGGACAGCAGAGTCCCCCCCTGCATGTGTGTTGGGGGTGGGGGGGAGCAGAGTCCCATCTCCTGCATCTGCCCTTTGCTGGCCAGGAGGCAGCAGCCCCCCCACAGCGGCAGCTGGGGGGGTGGCGGAGGGGGGGGGCCTGCTGCTCAGTCCACGCCTTTGGAGGGGAAGAGCACGCCACGGAACAGCCCCCTCTGCCCACTGCACGCAGGGCAGCTAAGGAGACGGGCCCAGCGCCGGCCGTGCCGCTCTCGTGCTGAGTTCAAAGCAGGCAGCATTGCTATCTACAGCAAGGGGGAGAGCTATGCGATTGGTCTACTTGCCACCAAACCGTCCTAGTGGGGCTCTAGCCTCTGGGGAGGCGTGCACAGCGAGGCATGGCCCAGGTGACAGGCGGTAGCATTTTATAAGAAATGAAGTGTCTAGATGAGCGAGAGGCCTATGAGGGAGGTTAACGAGTTGGACCAGCTTCAGCCTGTGGGCAGCAAAATGACCAGGCTTTCCACCCCACCCACCCAGTGCCCTCAAGGCCCGGAGGTCAAAGCTCCTGCCCTGCGAGTTATGCAGAACACAGGCCTTCTGAAGAACTGCATCTAGTGCAGAACCCCCCATGGCTGCTGTCCTTTAATATTCCAGTGTAGGCAGATTGGAGTACAGGCTTGTCCCTCCTTTGGAAGCACCAGCTCAAACAGAGTGAGAAAAGGCAAAGGCAGAGCCCTCCACAAATCAACCCAATTGTCTGCTGTGGCTGCCCCACAGCAGTGCCCTGCAGCACACAGCCCTTTCCTCCAAAGCTTTCTGAAGCTCTCCCCCCCCCCTTGCATCAGCCTGTGCTCTCTGGTTTTTTGAGGTGGCTTTCCCTGGAGAGCGCAGGATCCTCCTTGGAGAGGAGGCTGGCTTCTGACACAGTCCGCACAGCCACCTGCTTGAAGGCGCAGGAATCCGAAAACATGCTGGGGATGCTGTTACCAAAATAGAACTTGCTGTTGGCAGCGATGGCCTGGTACTTCTTCAGCTCCAGATACGCCGGCGTGAGTTTCAGCTACACAGAGCAAGAGAGCAGATCCTGTAAAACGTTCCCAAGCAGGCACCCCTGGGTCCCTCCCCACGGGTCCCCTCTCACCCCACCCAGCAGCTGGGGCTTGTAGCCAAGATTTAAATCCCTGCAGCAGAAAACTAGACGGCTATCAGCAAAAACCAAAAGATTCCCGTATCGCTCACCATTTGGCGCCTGGCTTCCTAGGGGAGCAAAGAAACGGAGTGAATCTAAGCGCTGGGTCACACCCCGTACCTTGTTCGAGTCAGCCATTTTCTGCGCCGTGTAATATCCTGCATCAGCTTTCGTTCTCTGTCTGGCTAGGAAAACAGTATCTAACAGCAACAGGAAGTCAAACAGAACCGAGCATTAGAACGGCAACACATTACCACAAGCCCGTGTACAGGGATCCCTGGCTAGGCATGGTCACTGCCAGGCTGCGCATCCCCACCTGGGCCTTGAAGAGCGGGCAGAAAACTCAGGGAGAATTCATCCTTCAGCTGTGCGAGGTTTATGATTCGTCCTGCCAGCAGCGAGGGTGCCCGCTGAGGTTTCTGCCCAACCCAGAGTTACTGCTGGGAGACCTTTGGCCAACAGCCAGCGTGAGCTGGGGGAGAAGTGTCCCTCAAGCTCCATTTACCTTCAATTTCTGAAATTCTCTTCTCAGTTTCCTTCTCCATCACCTTCTGTCGAAAATGAATCTTGGCCACCTCAGCTGCCTTCTCAGCCTCTGCAATTGCAAACAGCCACTCAGGCACCCGTGGCCAGTCACGTGGGGGGTAGTTCTGCAGGGGGAGGGTCTCCTGCCCCCTCCAGGTGCCTCACAAATCAACAGCTGTCTGCATTTCAGTGGCACAGCAAAGCAACTGCAGGTTCTGGCACAGCAGTAACTTTGCCACCTTTCGCGCGGGTAACGTGGCCAGTCATTAATGGCCTACGAACTTCCTTGGGGTGGAGACACAGTCACTAGGACAGCTCCTGACTCCAGTCCGCAGGCCCGATCTGGCTTACAAGTGTTCCCAGTGCAATAGGAATGCCCTTACAGCACCCCGAAAACAAACCTTTTAGTCCTGCGACACACACCCCTGGGGTAGAAGACAAGTGAGAAATTCCCTTAAAAGGAATGTCAATGGCCTACGAACTTCCTTGGGGTGGAGACACAGTCACTAGGACAGCTCCTGACTCCAGTCCGCAGGCCCGATCTGGCTTACAAGTGTTCCCAGTGCAATAGGAATGCCCTTACAGCACCCCGAAAACAAACCTTTTAGTCCTGCGACACACACCCCTGGGGTAGAAGACAAGTGAGAAATTCCCTTAAAAGGAATGTCTCAAAGTTCTAA